AAGGCTGGAGCTCACCCAGGCCCTCGGGCCATTCCCTGGTTTCTAGGCACACACACAGCAAACACGCAAATGGGAGACGGGGAGCCACCCTCGTGGGGCTTCCATCCCAGCTCCTCTACTGATGGCTTCCAACATCCCTGCCCCCATCCACAAATTGAAACAAAACAATAAGAACCGTGGCTTTTACACTCTGTTCCTTCGGAGTCTGTCTGAAGGTGGGGAAGGAGGCGGCCGAACTGTGCACACTCCCGCGGGCTGTAGCGGGCAGGCTCGGGGGTGGGGAAGGGTGTGAACAGATTGTATCCTCAGCTTCCAGGACAGGATGGCGATCTGGCCCAGGCCTCTTATCTTTCTTTCCCTCCAGCCTTCAAGATCCAAAACAGAGGAGGAGGCGTGGCTTGGGCCTTCCCGGCGCCCCCTACTGGGGGAAGGCAGGAGGTTCTAAGGCCCAGGCAGGGCCTCGGCAATGGGGGAGGGGGTTACAGCACTGGCACTGAACCCCGCCCCCACGCTCCCCACACCCAGGAGTGTCCCCACAATCCCCTCCCAGAGCTGCCTGTCTGGATGCTGGAAAACACCCGGCTTTGCAAGCCTACAGACCCGACTCTGCCGTACCCTAACCTCCCCCAGCACCGCTCCTCTGTGTAGATGGGGATAATGTCCCTCTCCCAGGACTGTGGGGATTAAGATCTGTAAAACACAGATAAAGTTCCTGACGCCCGGTAGGTGCTCCACAGATGTCTGCATCCCACTGTCTCCAGCTCCCATCTGCAAAGGCCCTGGCTCCCATGCACTGGGTCCCATGCAAGGCATGGAACAGTCTTGCCCAATTCTCGGCCCTCTGCAGTAGGTTCTGGTAATGACCCTGTTTTACAGAGGAGGAAACGCTTCGAGAAGGCATCGGCACACAGCAAGTAGTGCAAATGCTCAAGTTTTAACTGCAAAGCTACAGTGCTACTCCACAGCCACCCATCAAACCCCTTTTGCCCAAAGAACTCCTGGGGTGAGCAGCCAAAAAAGCAGACGAGTTCCTTCCCCCCAGCCTCCGGTAGTGATAAGACCACCCCCACTCGGCCAGCGCTCCGAGCCCTAAGCCCCGCCCTTGCCCAGCTCACAGACAAGCTGACACCTCCTCCCCAGCTCTGGGTTTAATTCTCCCAAAACACTCAGCTTTCTAACTCTCTCGCCCAACACACACAAGCCATTAATCCCCTTCCCAACACAACCCAACCTTGACCCCCGCAAAATACACACAAACCTGACCCTCTCCATAATGCACACAGAATCCAAACCTCCACAGTAAACAAGTCTTCAGAGACCAGGTCCCAGGGAGGGGGGATCCCTGCACTATCTCTGGGGCTCCCACCCCTGCTCCCAAGGAGACTGTAGCAGGACAAATACCCACCCCTCCCCACAGTGGCCTGGAGAGGATTCCTGTCGTCCCATAGGCCACCAGGTCTCTGAAGGGCACACCCAGGCACCTAAGGTGCTGTGTCCTCCCCACCTGGGGAGAAAGAGAAGGGGGAGGGGGGAGCCAGCATCTTCGTTTGGTGGGGAGTGGAAGGAGGAAGCCTCATCAGTGAGCTTCCCTACGAAAGGGTGGTAGAGGACCAGAGTGTGTCACTGCTCCTGCAGGAATGGAGGGCTTCTGATTTCCACCTCTCCTAGTGACTGCTTGATGCCCCGGGGCGAGCCCCAAAGCAGGGAGAGCAGGGGAGGCTAGACCGCCTCCATTTCTGAGGCCAGGCATGTGAAATTCTTTTTTTTTTTTTTTTTTTG